ATGAACAGGGAAAAGGGGGCACAAAGACATACTTTTCTTTCTTATTCTCATATCTAATATGGTAAATCTGGATAAATTCAAGGGCAATATTTAAACAGTAGATCAAGACCCCCAAGTTTCCATCTGCCTTGTTTATGTCTTTTCTTTCTATTCTAAAATGTAAAACAATTCAAAGAGGAGGAGAACATCAGAATACCACCTTTATCATTTAATTACTACTGAGTATTGATATTAGCTTAAAAAGGATTCTATCAGATTTGGAGTCCAGATTGAAACATGTTAAACACTGCCACCATACTTGGATAGACTGTGTCTAAAGTTTCTGTCCTTGTATTCGTCTTCTTCAGTTCCACCCAGCTCAGGGGATTCAAGTGTCTTCTGCTGAATTGCTGACCTCCTTTGGCAGCCAAAACAGACAGAAAGTGTCAACAATTAGAGTTTAATATCCCATCTCGGCAGGACTCCTCAATCAACCTGAAGTGAATGTCCTCAGCTCTGTATGTGAACAGAAACTCCTCAGAGGCTTCAGGAACAAGATCGAGCCCGCACTATTTCGAGATGGGATGAGCTCAGCATGGATATAGATATAAAGCAGGAGGACACCTGCACTGTGTGATCGCACTCATCAGCTCAGCAGTGACTAACATTCAGTCACACTGGAAGCATTTTAACACGAATGTTCCAGCTGTGACACTATAACACATGCATTTCAACTAAAATGTATTTTTGAAAGGAAACAGAAGTTAAATGCAAGTGATGGTGGGGGTCAACACAAGATGTGAAGTACTTAGACTGTTCAAAAGAAGAAGTCTGGTGAATTCTGTACATGGTGTTGAACATGCATTTCTCAACTAGCTCAAAGCTCCAAGCATGATTTCTTCTCTTATCGTCTTGGACTACGACTCTGTTAGGTATCCAGGCTGGAACCGTGGAGATTATTCATGATGACAATCTCCCACTCCACTACTTGAGATCTGGTGACCATTTGAGTACAGAGAACTCCTTGTGATAAAAGGATAAACATGGATGGCAACAATACTCAGCTGTGACATTAAGCGCTCTGTTTAGACCCAGACCGAACAGTATTGTTTGACTGATGGCCCTTAATATAAAGACTTGTTTCGGACTTTACGTTTCCCAATTTTGCTTTAAGTTATAAAGTTAT